TTTTACCGCGGGAAAATGTCTCATTTCTGAGAAATATACAAAACTGCTATGTAAGAGTATACTAATATGTAAAACCTAAGAATTTGGTTTTTGTTCATCTGAACGCGGGCGGAGCCGCGGGCAATGCTAGTTATACTATAAAAATGTTGTGATGGCTCTTATTTCCCTGTTACAAGTACTAGAGATGGAATTTTAAATCTTTAAGATAAATGCTTTTTTTCTATATACTTTGACAAATTACGTATTGTAGTCAATAATTAAATTTTATTTATAAGTACCTCAGATGATATTATGAGCACAAAATTAGCATTAAGCAATTTTGAATTTTCATAAAACAAAATTTTAATATTATTACTTCTTAAGAGTAAAAATAAAAAGATATATGTAGTATATATACTACCGACTCACTCTCGCTCTTCTCGGGTCCCTAGGTACGTTTTAACGTTTTGTATAGATTTCTCAGAGATGAGATATTTTCCCGCAGTAAAAAGTATCCTATATGTTGACCTGAATAATCAGCTATCATCATACCAAATTTCATCAAAATCTGTCCAGTGGTTTTCCCGTGTTGCATTCCCAGACAGACCGATACAGACAAAAATTCTGAAAACTATAGATTCGGCTTCTGTATCGAAGATGATGACTATTTAAAAAAGATTTTTCCAAAAAATATTTAATGTACAGATTAGCCTTATTAACACTTTTTTATATTTATTTATTTATGTACCAGAAAAAAAACATTCAAGTTAAAACAGATACCATGTGTACAAAGGATGAGATATCTCTTTTCTAATTCTATTATAAAAATTCTATTAAATTAATATAAATTTCTAATTTTATTATATGTATAAAAGATATATAGATGTGACAAGTTACATAAAAGCTCTGTTTCAAATTTTATGGACGATTAAGTAACAAACATTTAATTGAAATATCTTCATTAATTTTCCACGTAATATTAGTAGTAGATTCCATATTTAAAATATGTTGAACCATAAATAATAGTTTTTGGGCTGATATTGAAATGATAATGATAAGGTTATAGTGTATTGTGTATTCATAGTTTTCATTAAAAACCTACACCACCTACACAAATAATCAATTTACTTATTCATATTTTATTAAAGATATCCTTTTTTTTAATAATGGGAAATACATTTACGTATACCACCTGTATGTAGGATTCACCAACCACCACCACCCCCCGACCACGGAACAACGACGCCCCGACTGCAGGTCTGTTGAAGCAGACCACACAACCAAGGGATTGCTCCCTCGGTCTACTCTGCTGTCAGAGAAGTACCAGGAGTAGTCTGCATGATACACCGCCCACTGAAGTGGGCCTCCTCCCAGTGAGTCTCTTGACTTCACGCCCGGCCAAATTGCCGGACGCTAATAAGAAACTACGACAACGTGAACACACATCGGGGGGATCAATAAAGATATCGTATCACAAATTATATTTAACCTTACATTCGTAGATATATTCAAACTTGACAATTAAATTTAATAAGTAATGATGATTATATTCACGTGTCCCCCAATTCAGATAACTGATAGTACTAAAAATAAAATGTTAATTTATTAATTAATTTAAAATGAAAATCATTTAAAAAAAATTATAAATACTTAAATAAATAAAAAGTTTTTAGAGAAATCGAATGTTATATATCATTATATTATAATGTAATTTTTTTGATTGAACTTATACCATTTTTAATTACAATGAGCAAATTTATATAAAAAAATATACTTATTTGATCATTTTGTAAAACATAAAATACTGATATGGTTTCATAGCAAAGTTAGTTATACTTTAAGATACTATTAGAAATAAGAATAATACAGTAGACATGTTATCACTTCGAAGACTGTAATGGACTTTGACTACGAAGTGTTAATATAGCTAAAGATAAGCTTTTTGCTTATCTTGGTGGTTTAGGTAGAAAGAAAGGATGAGAAACCAATAGCGTTATAATATAACTGTATGAAAGTACATATTACTATCTATATAATGTACTTAGAGATAGTAAATATTCTGAGGAGAGTTCATATTATGAATGATGCTATGAAGAAAATGATTTCTCTGCAAAATAAACGTAATATATGTTATTCTAGAGAATAGATATAAATCGTTATAACTTAAACTCCCTTGATTTCTATTTGCTTAAAAGTTTAAACTGGTATCACATAGAAGCACGCAGACTGTCAGAAGCTTAAAATGATATTATTATCTAGCTTTTTTGCTACGATTCTTCTCGCTTAGATGAATAGCGATCATGATTGAGGGTGAAGGAGGAAATAAAATAAATAAAGCAATTATTGTACACTATTTATATAACTATTTAACTTATAATGCTGAATATGAGTTTAATCATAATAAGTTAAAATGTTAATATTATATAACAGAATACATATATTAGTATTTTCTCATGCTAATATTTTCTGATATAAAATTATCAATGTCAGAAATAGAGATGGATAAATTGTGTGAGATAGGACATGAAAGAGAAAGGGGTAAATGATGAGATGACGAGTAATAGGGGAGAGTAAAAGAGGAAAGCTTACTGCGCCGATCCCAAGTAACTGGGAAATGGACAGGGAGAAGATGATGTAGAGTCAGGAAATAAACTGTTTTTAGAATTCTAAGAATATCTTTGGAATTTGATATTTTATATCTTAAAATGTAAAATGTCCAATATATGAGTATATTGGCACCTTTCTTTTTTCATTTCTCTATTGCTCTTTTTATTTGCACAGAACATATAGGTAATATGAGTTTACCAGGTGTATACAAAATACAGCATACATTGTAGGGAAAATAAAAATTGCTCGTGCTTTGTTTTTTTTATTAATAAATAAAAAAACCGAAGAGTCAGTTGATTTATCTTGAAAGCCGCAACTGTCACTAGTAAACTTTTTCATTTAACATTCCCGGATATTAAGATTATTATTGAAAATTAAACCGGAATAGATAAAATAAGGAATGAGTACATAAGAGGGAGCTTGAAAGTAGCGCCAGTGACAGAGAAGTTGAAAGGAAATTATCTGAGATGGTATGGACATGTGAAGAATAGGGATGAAACGCATGTGACGAGAAGAGTGATGGAAATGAATGTAGATGGAATAGAGAGGCAGAAAGAGAAAAGATGAAGAAAAGATGAATATATTGTGTGAGACAGGAAAGAGAAAGAGATGAATAATAAGAAAACGAGTAATAGGGGAGATTGGAAGAGTAAGACTTACTGCGCCGACCGCAAATAATCTGAGAAATGGTCAGGGAATGATGATACTACAGAAAATTATTATTATTGCAAGATGTTTGTAATTATCTTTGTTTAAGCATCATGGGAAGCTTATTTAGCAATATTTATTATTATTTTGGAGTTATGTAAGAAGATTTCGTAACCATGTAAAACATCATACAGTAAAACTATAATTGTACAAGTTAAAAACTTATATGATGCTTTTATGTGAAGCAAAACCATAACGATTTTTATAATAATATTGAATATTTATAAAGATATTTCAATTTACTATTGCAGGTAACCTTTATTTTTTTCTATCATTCAGATTAAGTGATTGTGGAAATGTTACTTTCAATTTTACGCCCACGAAACTTTCCGCTTTTATATTCTCTATAATGGAAAGAATAATCATGCAATATTATATAATTAAACATTTCAGAACAAACTATATTTATAACTATATCTGAATGTATATTTAATTTTGAGACATTTCTTAAAATTACTTGTACAAGTGTCTATTAAACATTCGTATTCGTATGAAAAAGATAAATAGAGCCTTGAACCCTGCTTAAAAGGACAGCAGCACGTACAAACGAGTCGTAAAGCGTCCATACGCGTCCATATTATTTATATATATATAGTCTAGTAACATGGGATGTTTGGCACAAAGCCTGAAATACCCTGCAGTCCCAGCTGCACATCTACTATAACACGAAATGAAAACACCAGGAGTGCTTCCATCAGCCAAAGTTTTGTTTCTATTTCCTATAGGCAACTTAATGTGAAATGTACACATAATAAAGATCTCATTTGCTATTTTCAACCCAAAAGGGTGACTCTGTAATTAATTTTAACTAGCATTATGTTGCATCTTGCAACAACTGTGTGATCCTACTTAGTTTAGAAACACGTCGAACACGTCCCTTTACATGTCAAACTATTGAGAAATATATTCAACATACGTGATTTCTTCAGTAAGCAATCATCTAATAATAATTAATTAATTATTTCAGACAATAGGAACTTCCAAAACCTCTTTATATTATAAATCTTGATACAAATAAGTCGCACAGATAAGAAAAAATATATTTTGAACCGACTCCAAAAAGGAGGAGGTTCTCAATTCGTCGGAATCGATTTTTTTTAAACGCATTTTGGTATTATATTTATTAATAACATATTACTTTCACACACACTAGTAATGCAGTAGAAGTAAGTAAAATTATACAATTCATATCAATAGTGTAATCAAATATTATATTAATTAACTTTATACTACGATTTTAATAATATTGCGATCAATATTTAAGCGCACAGTACTACGTACATATATAGCATTAAAGCTGTAGTAGAATATAATTGGTAGTTGTAGTAGTAGTAGTAGCAGCATAGTAGTTCTTCTTACAATTAAGTAAAGTAACTATTTGTATGTTGAATGGCTGACAATGAGTTTTTTTTGCTTTCAAGTTGGCTTAATATGACAAAAGTTAAGATTTCAATTTTTTTGGAAGAATTTTTTAAATAGGTCATCGGTTAAAATATTTATTAGGATATAAATGTATTTTATCTCTTATCAGAAAAACGTAAAGCAAGATTTTGACAAACAGTAAATGCTAAATTTAAGATTTTATCTACTTTTTTTTAATAGTGTTCATTTTCAACACTCAATTCCGTTAAAATGGCAATGTGGTACGAAATAGATATAGGATGTAATTCTAATAATATTTAGTAACTAAATAATACAATACGTACTCATTGTGAGGGATATCTTCTAGCTGGTTGGCAAGCGCGGCGGCCAGCAAGGCGAGCAGCAGCAGCGGACGCCCGGTCATAGTGCCTAGCGCCATCGCACTCGCCACATGACAAGAGCAACAACACTCCACTGGCTCCTATGACTCTACATGGGATTACACCATTCGCACTGCACTGCAATGTCACCAGGACTGAGTCATCGGGTCGTGTGGCCGACGGGGACGTAGAGCAGGCGCGCCGCGAGGCAACAGAGTGTACTGTGAGCCGCGGCGGCCGGCGCCGTCCGGCCCGCCCCACCCAGCCGCAGTGACGCTGCGCGCGAATCATACGCCCAATAACGCAGCCCTATTATTGAGATTTATTTGATCATGCATAGAGTTGATGGTCAGCAATGGTCAACCCTATTATTATGTTCTAATCGAGGGTAAACCTTAGTGGCATACGTATTTCATACGAGACAGTGTAATTTATTGACATACACAAAATTTCAAGGTGATGAAAGGTTTGTGATAGCAGGAACGGAGGCTGTCGAAGACGCCACGATGGACGAGGTTCAGGGCCTCGGGCGCCACGCACATGCGTGGGCACGCCGCCAGGAAATCCTTTATTGATTCCCGCGCTCCCGCTTTCTAAGAATGTCGCAGGCGTTGTTGCCGCCAAAATTTTACCCGCCTTAACAATAACGAACTAAAGATCACGCTGTGTTGCGTAAAAAGATAAATATAACGAAGCAAGATCATATGCATAGCAAGTCAAGATATTTTCTCTGATTGCACGTTTCTCATTAATTTCTTATTTATAAATTATTTAAGAAATTCGAAAAACAAAACACTTGTCAACTTTTTACTAAAAATATTTCATTGAGAAAGAAATGAATTAAATTAATATAATAGTTCAATTTAGGTAAAAAATGTCCATAAACTCCAACCGTAATAAATCTAAAACTAACAAAACGAACTTTCCTTTTAAAGGATACTTGAAGCGGAAGAATTTGGTGAAATGATAGCGTTGCCGTTTCTATGACATAAGCTTACCATAATATAGTTCTGTTCAATGGTTAAAGGGTTAAACAAAATTGTGCAAAGGTTTAAATGACTGAACAACCGTCTCATGGAGGGTCATAACGTATTAGGGGTGTAATGACTTATATTATTATCTCTTCCGGGTCAACGGAATCTAACAAGAAGGACTTGGACCATCTGCCAAGAAAAATATACAGCTACTGCTTTAATTTTCTAAACAGAAAGGGCACCATAAATGTTAGGTATACTTAACATTAAGTAATAAATAAAATTAGAGTGTTTGTCCGTAATTTTATAATAATCACCTTATTTATAGCATTTATATTTGTACGACAAAAGCGGTCGTTTTTACATCTTACGAGTAGGTAGGGTTTGTTTATTCGGACCTAGGTATATGGAATGGTTGCTAGAAAAAACCCCTTAGATTAAAAACTTAGCCCAAGATTAGCATAATATATTCTCCACGCGAATGAGACTTCTCGCGGGATAGGAAATAGAAGTTGAATAACATTTAGTTATTTATTAAGTAGAAACTATTTGACATCTATATCTATATATTATTATATACATAAAAATGAACGCCTATTTCTCCTAGTCACGCTATAAATTGAGAACGGCTTTACCGATTTCATTCATCTTTTTTGTAATGTTTTCTAATACTTTGTAGAAGGTTCTTACATTAAAACAATTAGTAAATTGCGCAGAAACTTAGAAAATTTAAGAAAATTTAATTCAGGAAATCATCCCTTAAGGAGGTGAAAATGGGGATGAAAGTTTGTATTGGGAAGTAAGTTAAGGACGAACCCGAGCGAAGAGAGAGTGTGATTCACTCTAGTATAATATAAAAATCAATTGCCGTTTATTAGTCTCGCTAAAACACAAAAACAGCTGGACCAATTAGAATAATTCTCTTTTTGGTTTGTTGGGAGTGTGTCAGGAGTTATTTAAGTATAAAAACAATGGAATATAAAACACAATGGAATAAAAACAATGGAAATCCCATAAGAACTGCTAAAAAATCGAAAAGTCACAACTGTTTATTTTATATGGGAATCACTACTTCGAATTACTTTCAATAGATGGCGCTAGTGGCGGACCTATCATCTACAACGATGTGTCAAGTTTAAGTTGAAAAAATATAATATATTCCATACTAACTGCCAAAAGGGATAAACCCGCGCGAACCAAGGGTGAGTCACTAGTTTTTTTATAAAAACTAGCACCATTATTACTTTATAGCTTTTATCAGCGGTCTCGCTCGTTTTTATGTTTGTATGATTGCTCCGCTCCTTAGATTCATAGACTCTATGACGTTTCTCGAGTGCACGCGCAGGCACATGTACAGTCTCTGCTCCTTCTTCCCTCAAATTCCGATGCTTCCATCGAACTACCATAACAATTTGTATCTATTTAAAACGTACCCCTATTTAGGGCCGCATGTATGACGTAAGTCGCTAGTAAGTAGTAGGCTATAAAAAGTAAAAATACCTATTTTTTAAATTGGTCCGGTCGTCCCAGAAATAATGAGTTTCAAATAAACAAAATACAGACAATCTCTATACAAACGATATACTAATATTGTAGACTTGTAGAGGCATAGTTTGTTTGTTTGTTTATTTGAACGCGCTGATCTAAGAAAGTATTAATCTGATTTAAAAAAATCTTTTTGCATTAGACAGCCCATTTATTGAGGAAGGCTATATATAGGCTATCAAATCATCATGCTACTACCTAAGGAAGCGGAGCTGTAATAATATAATATATAGTCTATCTATTCCATACTAACCGTTAAAACGTATCTAGGGACGAACCCAAGCGAATCGAGGATGAGTCGCTTGTAGGCTATAAAATTGAAAATTACATTTTCCAAATCGGTCCGATCGTCCCAGAAATAATCGGTTTTAAATAAACAAAAAACAGACAATCTTTATATAACAGACTATAAATATATATAAAAATATAAAATTAAGTCCGAGTTCGGCCGGCCGTTCTATCCAAATGTTTTACTTAATTTTTTGTTTCTAAATGAAACATATTGATGCACAAATTTGTCATTAAGTATTGGAAATGACCTAACTTTCACCCTTCTCAAGTTATGCTCAAACGAGATTTTCTTCTCTTTATTATGTTTTCTGTTATAATATTTATTATATACTCATACCTTTCTTTTTCTATATTTCTGGGTCTAATTGATTGATGTACGTGGTTTGTTTTGGTCTAAGAACACTCACTGAAACGTGTTCTTTGATTTGAGCTTTTGCTCACTTAAATTGGTTGTGTTGGAAGGAATCTAGATGTGAACATTCAACTTGCGACTTTCAATATGCGTTTCAAATAGTTTACAATGAGTCATCACATAGGACCGTTATTTTTGAATTATATTACCAACAGTGTTTTTTTTTCAAGATTTTTTAGTACTTCCAGAGGTTACATATTAGGTATATACAAACAAATTTTATCTTTTAGTGTAAGATCGCTCTTTACAATTAAAACAACGTGGCATGTAGAATAAAGGAATTTTATTTTTCAAGAATTGAGTTGTGGATAAAAGAGCAGATAAAAGAGAGATTCATATGAATAGTGATAGGTAAGTACATTTCACAATTTATTCGATCAAAAAAATAAGGATAATATTGGTATGTAAATATTTTTTTTAAATCATAATGAATTATTGCGTATATTTTGTATTAAGAATTTTACAATTAATATATTTATAATGATGTGCTTTAAAATGCGAAATTAAAGATAAAAAATGCTTCAATTCTATGAGTATTGTCCAATTAAAGTACGAAAAAAGATTTATTAGTTTTAATATTATTATTAATTTAATATTTATTTAAAAAAAAATAGAGATTAAAAAAAGTAAAAAAAAACTGGAAAATAAAAAGACAATTTTTGTTTACTTGAAATCTAATTTAACAATCAAACATTTTGCAATTTCGATATAAGTCTAAGTTTTTCGACAATATGTCAGTTAAAATTGTATAAAAATATAAGTTACAAAAGTAGACAACTTTCGATTGTGCGTTGGCGTCGTGTAACCTAAACTACTGCTATATTTACACGGTATTAAGTTACATTAATATAAATTAATATAAACTAATAAGTACTCTGCACAAAATGTCACAACACTAATCACTAATTTCATAACTGAGGTCAGTTGTTTCTTAGCTCAGATCTAAGGGCACGTCGCAGATGCACAATCATTTCTCTTATAAATATAATAGCAACAAATAAAATTTCATTTCTTCGACCATTAATAATAAAATTGTATATTATTCAAATGATGGTCTCTATTATTTTAAATTATATATTATACTCAATAAAATTATATGAATGACCATCTGCAACCTCCCATTGTCGTCTATTCAGCTTTGTACGCTAAGAGCTCGTTTAGATCGCTTAATGCAGTCTTCATAAGTGACCAAAGGTCAATACAGTAAGGTGTATAAAACATCTAAGTAATCTCATAAATAAATGCCTTACCTAATATACATCTACTTAAATAATTTGTACAATAAATCTGAGTCCACAGATTCTTCTGGTGAGAATTATTATAGACACGAAATAAATAATATGATAAATTATTAAAAATATTCGACCACAGTCTTTAGACGTGAAATTGTAACAAATATGGAAGAATGTCTTTAAAATAGGAACACGCGAAAGGTTTACGATGATTTCTAAAGTGTTATTTGGTCTATATATTACAAATAAAAAGTGCGTTTCTCTAGTAATCACAATAGAAGCACTAGTGTCGCTATGGAATGATTTCAGTATCATCACTTACACAATACAGTTCAAACTAGCACTTCTAAGACTATGTAGCCTCCACTATAACCGTAATTTAATGAGAAATCTTAAAATTACCCTCGTAATACTGTTTTAAGGTTAAAGCAGTACAGCACCTTAAAAAGTATACGCGCTAATCTCAATATTGTAAAATTTTAAAATTTTCAATTCGATCATAACAAGTAAGCATTGTATTTTAACCAATTGTAATAAAAAGCAGTTATGAGATAGCTATTTATAACTTCCCATACTTCGCATGGTTATTAACACCATTGTCAAATTTAAAACAATATTACCTATGTAAATATAAAAATTCAATTGACAAATATTTGTCATTTCCTTGTTGGCAAGGTTACATGAAGATTAAATTAATCAATTATTTTAAGCGCACAACTAATCAGTTGTTTATTACAAAACAATTTTTCATTGCGACTTTGTGTTTTCAATGTCGTGAAGAATCGCTTTCGTGTCCTGAATCTCTACCGTTTTCTCTTGGAGAAGCACGATGTTCTCTTTCGTCTCTGTATCGATCTCTTCGGTCTCGCTCTCGTGATCTATCTCGGTCCCTTTCTCCTCTATCTCGATCCCGGTCTCGGTCTCTATCTCTGTCACGATCTCTGTCTCGGTCCCGGTCCCGCTCCCTATCGTCGTCACGATCTCGTCGTCGGTCGTAATAGTGATATGATCGTCTTGATTTTCTATCGCTTGGTGTTACCACTTCTACTTTAATATTTGCTGTTGCAGTTACCTGTAATAAAAATGGTATTGATACAGACATGCACATTTATCTTAATTATTAATAGTTTTTTTGAAAAACTGGGTAATTTTATTGGTTAAATTAAAACGAATATACCTATTATAATAATTACCTTCATAACTTTTAAGAATCAAACATCTACATTAACAAAATTTATAAAAATATATATTTGACATAAAAATCTTACCTTAGTAGTAATAGCTCCAGAGTGCGACGTCTTGGTAGGTGTCGATCGCCCTGAAGCCGAATCACTGCCATTATAGGTAGTTGTTTCAACGACCACCTCAGGTTGAACTACGATGGACTGCATCGACGATTGGACAGAATGAGCAGAACTGTGCCAACTCGAAGGCTCTTCTGTAATGGTCGTGAGTGAAGGAGCGCAAGGTCTTGGAGCAGATTTGCTGGTTCTCGACTTTTCTTTATCAGAACTTGAGCTCGACTTTCGTTGATGTATGGGAGAGCATTTTGGTGACGGTGTGGATAAGCGTTCTGGATGTTCTAGTGGTCGTACCTGTAGAGATTCAAATATTATAGCTTTAAGTTCTAATTCAAATTTTGATTTCTATATAACCTATCATTTTTATTGGAATACGATTACGGCGGATCTCAATAACGGATCTACACGTAGTTTTCTTAACTAGCCATAGTCACTTTACATAATTTGGATGGATGGAGCTTATGCCACTATTTTATTTCTAGAAAGGAAAACTTCAGATATGTACGTAATACGTATAATAAAATTACCATACATAATTAAAATATACATATAATAAAATTGTAACTAAGCCGAATCTGTACATTAAATATTTTTTGGGAAATCTTATTGAAGTAGACATTATTATCGATACAGAGGCCGAATCTAGTTTTTAGAATTTTTGTCTGTCTGTCTGTCTGTTACCGCGTCACGGAAAATAAACCACTGGAGGGATTTTGATGAAATTTCGTATGATAATAGCTTAATTCTAGTTACAATACGGGCCAACATATAGGACACATTTTACTGCAGGAAAATATCTCATTTCTGAGAAATTTCTACTTATCGTTAAAACGTAAGTAGGGACGAACCCGAGCGGAGCGAGGATGAGTCGCCAGTATTGAAATAAATCTTAAGCCATATTATTTTTCAAGACTGCAAAATTGACGACCATGAAGTTAGGTACGATTATATAAGTAATTAATAAAATAAGATAATATAAGAAGATAACCCAGTATAATACTATTTTCAACATTTTAGATAAGTATTTCTTCTAAACGAATAACAAACCTCAGCGGCCGGTCCCAATATAGACAATACAATGGGGAAGAACAGCAGCCCATCGAGTAGACCCAGCAGCACCAGCGCCAGCAGCAGCCGCAGGAACAGCCGCGCCACAAAGCCGAACTCACTGGCGGCCAGCATGGACGCGGCCAGCGCGGCCGCCAGCGCGCCATGCACCACCGGCGCCAGCACTGACTCCAGTGCTAGAGACGCGCGCCGACGCTTACATCCTATTGATGTTACGAAACCCTGTAACCAATGGAAATTATTAAAATCTTTTATTTTTAATACGAGTATATAATAATATTCTCCTGACCGATTCCGGCCACGGCAGTCAATCTCATTGAGAATAGCTAACTGCGCAGGAGAGATATTATAGTACGCAAGTGTACGCGCAGACACAAGTGCACTCTATTCCTGTCACTCCCATACTTCGGTGAGACAACACGAGACACTCGCGGTGAGAGTTAAGGAGCAAGACAGACGGCTTTACGTGCTTTCCGAGGCAAGGGGATGAAACACCGCCAACTTCCTAACTCCGGGTTGTTACTGAGACTTAGTAAACAGAAAGACTCAATAACTTAACTTGGGCCGACCCGGGACTCGAGCCCAGGACCACCAGGTGTGCAGCCGTATATGCTGGCCACTTCACCACCGAGGCACGAGTACATACATAGCATTTGGATTATTATTATAATTGAGAAAATTAGTATGTGTTTGTTTGTTCGTTCTACTGTAAGCTAAAGCAGCTAGGTGAATTAGGATGAGTACACAGATAGACTGCGACCCGAAATAACATATAGGCACATTGAGATGTACTTGAACAAAACCAGGGTAATTTGCTAGTATATAAATGCTTTAGAATAGAATATTATTGATTGCAACACAATATTAATAATCAGTGACTAGATAAGCTTTTAAAAATGCTCATGCTCTTTATTTAGATTCATTTTGAGACAGACAACCGATAAAAGAGGCCGGGTTCAAAATTCCAAAACGAGAGCACTCTGCTATCTGCTAAAATTAATACAATTTAAAATATTTTACTATATTCAGCCTTTTTTTAACGTCCCACTACTGCGCACGGGCCTCCCGTCAGTACGAGGGCCACCAGGCAATAGTCCACCACGCTGGTCAAGTGCGGGTTGGCAAAAAATGTATTAAGGTATTCCCTAACTTCCATTGTAACTAGAATCAAAAAGACATACAACAATGAAGTAAAGCACCATACTCACCAAACACAAATGTACGGTGAAGTGCACGCCGCGGCCCACGGCCAGTACGAGCAGGACCGCGGGCATCGCGGACAGCTTCACCCCCAGTAGCGCCATCACGCCCAACAGCTGCAGCACTAGCGTCGCCAGAGACAAGGTCACTAGTACCGCTGCCCATGCATTCAGTAGCAGAACCATTACCGCCTGAAATATGTTAAATAAGGTAAGTCGTTACTTTTTGTTATCCATACTTAATATAAAAAATGTGAAAGTTTGTTTGTTTGTCCTTCTTTCACGTCAAAATGGAGTGACGGATTGCAGTGATTTTTTGTGTGGAGATAGTTGGAGGGCTGGAGAGTGACATAGGCTACATTTTACCGCGGGAGTTTACCTAATTCCCACGGGAAAACACTTTATAATACAACCCAAAAAATATTTATGATCAGAATTACTTGAAACTAGGTATTAATACTGTTCAATAAAATTAAATAAATATATGTTTTAGCATTTTTCGAAATTCATCCTATAAGGGTGTAAAATAGTGGATGAAAGGTTTTCCAAACTACTTTCTTTTATAGAGGTTTTTTTCGTAGTTTTAGCGCAAACGAAGCGGCGGGACTGCTAGTAGTTATATAAATATTAATTAATTAATTAATTAGAATATTTTGTTTTATATACTTAATCATTTTGAAATAAAAATATTTAATCTGTTGTACGAATAATATTATAAAATATTTTTTTATATTAATGTTTACTTACAATGAACACAGCAGCTAATGCACATGCCAGCGCTAATAGGAGAGATGTCCTCAAATACAAATACTGTTCCCAGAACAAAAAGGGTATACCAGACGGGAAATTTGGTAAGCCCTTCGCTTCGTATTTCAAACATAATTCACGCACAGATCGTATCAACGTTTTTATACTATCCGTATCACTTAGGCCTGACAAATAAAACGGTAACTGTGTATAAATTAAAGGAGAAGACTTCTTTATTTCTAAATGAACATCTTCAGGCGAATGGATCCATCGTTGTGGCTGTGGTTTCAAGTTCCCTTGTGACGCGCCATACGCCAATGCGTCGTTAGTGGCCCAAGCTGATAGATAATTGTAAAACGCCTTCGGGTTTATAATGCCGTCCTTATCGACTAATCTGTGACCAGCGGTTATAAGGGATTTGTCTATGGGATTATCAACATGGCCGGTTTGTACCATCAATTTGTAGGCTAATATTCCCTCATCAGTTGCGTTTTTGCACCAATATTCTTGAGTGATACAACCGCTCGCCACTTCTTTATCGAATGCTGCTTGAAGATCAAGCAGCCAATCTCGAAATAAACTTAACCAGAATTTAGTCAAACCGCCATTGTCGTTTTTAATTATATTGGGTATTCGAACAAATTGATCGTGATATTCGTACAACAACTTTTGGTTTGTGGGATATTCGAAATCGCCTTGTGTCACAGCATACATATTGTAAAAGCCGAAAAACTTTTCTTGTCGGGAAAGAAACTCATGTTCGTCAGTATTTTCTGGAACTATGTCAGTTAGATCCAAACCATCTTTTACTTTCGTGGCTCCCCAAACACTTGCTAATATAACCGTAATCAAGGCCAACATTGATGTTACCTGTAAAAGAAAAAATCTATTTAATCCAATTTAATGACCTTAAAACTGTCTAGTATTAGACTCGCAATGTAGAAGTTAAATATTTTATAATCAATGATCGCCAAACGCGATGCTACAAAATTCAGATGTAATTTAAATTTAAACGTATAATGTTTGTTAATAAAACATCTTCATTTAGTAGGTTATTAATAACGCAGTACGTACCTTAACAGCGGGACGCATGATGAAAGGCGCGTACTGGTTCTTGACCCATTTGGTAAGAGACAGACTTAGGCAGCAAGACTTAGTTTCGTTTCTATTAACATCAGGGTCTAGAGGTTGACGAGTTGTATCAATCCTGTTATTCTGTAAAGATACGTTTTTGTTGTATTTACTTCCGATAGATCTAGAGAAGTAAGTAATAGGTATAAGATTATTTCCTTACTTTCGGAGCATGTTTATTATGTAAAATTTATCCTTTTGAAACAAAAGATGACAACATCATATTTATAAAAAAAATATAAAATAAATCTGTATAAATATTATAAATCTGAAAGTTTGTAAGTATAGATGTTTGTAACTCTTTCACGCCAGAACGGCTGAACGGATCTGGATGAAATTTGGCACAGAGATAGATAATAGGAATCATATATAGGCTACTTTTTATCAAAGAAAAATATGCGGTTGCCGAGGGATAGATTTGTTATTATTTTTCTAGAGGCGAACCCGAGCGAAGTGAGGCTGAGCCGCTAGTATATCATAATAAGAAAATATTTTTTTAAAAAGCTTACCTTATCATTCTTCGAATTTCTAGATTTATTTCGCTCCGGAATTCTTTTCTTCGGTAGTGGACTTTCAGGCATCAAACAACATAACAAATCAGCACGAGCGGCTGATCTTCTTCGAAGGTCTAGTGAGATCATCGCAGGAAATACTAGCAGCATTGAGCCCAAGTTGAATAGCAGAAGGATTGCCGCCTAAAATGCCAACACATTTATTTTACTACTATTCTGTAGATTTTTAAAGTAAAGATCGTCATTAAATAAATAAATAAAATGAATTGTAAACGATTTTTGTACAAGTAATGAACATTGAGACATTATAATCTCGGTCGTAAGGCGCTCACGTAAAGATAGCAAACGAAACAAGTTCAGATCCCAGTTTTCCAATTTCTGATAGTTTGGTGTGTGTTGAAAATGATTCCAACATGATTACTACTTATTTAATGAGAATGCGGTTAAAAAAACATCGAGAGGAAACCTGCGTGTCTGATAAGTAAACTAGATTAGTAAGTTTTTAAAAGACATGTGAAGTTTGCATTTGACCAGCGTGGTGGAATTCTGGCCCATTTTTCTCGCATTTAAAGGAGACCTGTGCCCAGCAGTGGGATCTTAATAAGGATTATATACTCAATGGACAGAATAATTAATAAAAAACGCACCTGCAAGCAAAATACCCTAAATGCCGGTATAGGCAGTAGCGCGGCCGCCAGGAACGCCATAACATTGCACAGCGACGCCAGCAGCACGCTGAGGCCGCTCTTCTTCAGCACGAGGCCGGTGCGCTCCTCGCGCGACACCTCCGCCTGCTCCACGTACGCGTGCGTCAACAGGAACATATCCTGCACGCCCAGACCGAGGGCTAAGAAGGGAACGATTTGTGTACTCGACGCGTTGAACGGTATACCTAAAAGAGTCATACGAAACATTTAGAACTGTTTTCCGATATAAATAATCAAATTTAATAGATAAGCAAAAATTAAAATATATGTAAATGCCAGTAAAAAAATCACCTAATAAAGCACAAAATCCTAATCCAGCTGCTACGGTTATGGAAAGTAGTAAAACACCCGCAATTCCAACGCCAGCTTGAGAGCGAATGGGATCGCGCCATTGTATTAACGTAACGGCGACATAAATTAACTGAAATAATAAAGCAAAAAAAAAACTTAAAATAAAAACAACTTAATAAAAATGCTACAAAAATAAATGAATTAAAAAAAAAGAATATTACCATAAACATATATCCTAAAATAATATTTTTTACTGATACTTCAGAGAATTTTCCAAGTATATCGTTTAGGGTCGACGTTGAAAACGGATAGAAGCTATACGCCGACGATACTGTTCCTGAGGTAGTTAATTTTCTCACTTCCTAAAAACAATAATAAGAAAATATTTAATGTCTGCAACATTCGAGCTGTATATGGCTACAAGGCAATAAAATTTTATGAACAAAAAAATGATAAGGGAGGTACTTACAGCGGCAAACTTTCTCTGCCAGGCATCCAGTACGGCAGCCGCCTTCTCTTGATTCCATCCAATTTGATGTACCTTATAATGATCAGCCCAGTACTCGTACATTTCTCGCTCGCCCATTAACTGTACAACGGTTTGTAAGGCGCGTGCGCTTCGTAAAGCCGACGTGGAATTCCTTGTAGCTCCTCCCACGATTAACTGTTCTGGCCAGTGCATATAAGCTGCTGCGAAACCGTAACACCCGTGCGATAGTTCGGCCGCTACATCTGGAATCTAGGAATGAAATCATGATTGGTATTTACATTTAAAATAAATAGATATACCTTGTAGACATATAAACAAAATTTGCTAATACGTCTTATATTACAAATTATAAATTTACTCTAAATGCAAAACTAATCGAGCCCAAACCAATGTTATGATCGAAAATTAGTATTTAGAATAAACGATTTCAATTCTTAAAAAATACGAAGTTTTGTTTCTTACTTAATGTTATGTGACTCCGAGTTTGAAACCATAAATCGCCTATTTTACCTCAACAGGTCAAGAAAAAGTTTAATACCGGCTTAGCCACAGGCGGCCGGTTTAATAAAACTCTTACAGGTGCCTTTCATTCCCGAATATTTGGATACAAAGAGCAGTACAAAATTTACGATTACGTAGAACTCCCCATTTGTATGAGTATTATTGATATAATGGTGTCATTGTGACGGATGAAGCCGGCAAACGAGGCCTATTGAAGCGTGCATAATGCGCCCGTATAAGACGGAGGTGAGCGCGGGCGAAGGAACAATGCGCGCTCGTCCAGTGCCGAAGTCCTTCGCCGAACGTGGGTGGCACCGCCTTACTGCGCACAAAAACGCACCCTACCCACTCGACTGAGCTTTAAATGCGCTATTTGTTTAACACAATGATCGAAACGACTCAATACTGTATTTATATGTACGGACAAACGCGATTTATCTCCATATACCTCTATATAATAAAGTTGTGGATTGGCCGATTTTCCTTAGAATATTATCAAATTTTTCGTTTATTGCCTACTAAGTACTAACATAAAAAAAATAAAAAAAACTTTAGAAGGTATATTTTTATAGATTTTCTCCATGTGGATTTTGTAAACACAATATTTTCTTAACAAAACTAAATAAAAATAACATATATATATGTCTATCCAGTATAAAAAGCGTAAATAAATTTTTATAACCAGTTCTCTATAATGATTTTTTAGTTATCACCTTCGCGACGTTTATGAATGCGGACTATAATAATAAAATATATGGGCAATTAAACTGCTAATTACCTACTAAAATGTTTACTTGCGATAAGAATAATCTGTTAAATTGATATAGCAATTTTTAGTTTCGAAGCAAACTTTCTCGAAAGACCGTCCGGGGCAGGTAGTTGCACCATCTGCCGGGCGGCGACCGCTTTCATCTTGCCTTATTACAGTTTCCAAATATATTATAAACCGTTTTGAAAAGAAGTCTATAAAATCATCACTTTTTTGTAAATTTCCCTTTACTTATTATGCTAAATATTCATTATTATATAGCATTGAAATGATAATAAGGACGTTACTTTTTTTAAATATTCTTTTGAAAATTATCTTACATTACATATATGTATACAAGTACATCTATACAGATAAATAAAATTGAAGTGTCTGTTTGTAATATCAAAATAACAGCTTTTTACTAAATGCATATAGGGATGTATACACGGTACATATACAAAAACAACATTTTTTACAATTTTTGTTTGACTTTCACTGGCAGATAGCTGATGTGATAAGGAGTAACTTAGGCTACTTTTATATTACAAAAAACAAATAGGGTCCCACGAAAAAAATTAAAACCAATGAAAAATTTAATAATATCCATTTCAAATAGGGAAATTGCATACACATCCTGTATTTTAATAACTTGTTCCTTTAATATAGTGAAATTTGTCATGAAGATATGTTTTATTTATTCACAAAACTGCCGTAAATATAAAAAAACCGGCAGTAATAATGTGGCCATAATATGGATCTCACGCAGGCGTAACAAATGAATTGTACATCTCAATCATTACTTGGAGTACAAAAACGGGCCGGTAATTTATGACCTTATATCTAATGGCAATAAAGATTTTTTTAATTACGACAAAACGTTTATACGAATATTTTTTTTCATTGAATACAAATGCAACTCATAAAATAAAAGCTCTATAATCTGTAGTACGCAATTGGTATATATTATCTTCTTTGCATATAATAAAATTGTCACTAAGCCGAATATGTACATTAAATATTTTTTGAAATTTTTTATTGTAATAAACATTATTATCGATACAAAGGCTGAATCTATAGTTTTTAGGATTTTTGTCTCTCTGTCTGTCTGTCTGTTACCGCATCACAGAAACAATGAAAAACCACTGGAGGGATTTTGATGAAATATGGTATGGTGATAGCTGGTTATCCGGGTCAACATATAGGATACTTTTTACCGCGGGAAAATATCTCATTTCTAAGGAAAAATACAAAAATTGCAATGTATGATGATGATGTTTTTGGTCATCTGAACGCGGGCGGAGCCGCGGGCAATGCTAGTTTACTATATAATTTGCAGATGCCTAAAAAAGAAAAAACCTAAAAGTGCATCTAACTAAAATTTTAATATTTAGTAAGAATCATTCAATTAGTGATTTTTCAAGAGATTTGTTTAATATAGGAATATAATATAATAAACTTACATGTCCGGATTTCTTGTTCGGCGCCGTGGCAGGGCAGTGCGGGTCGCTGGGGTCTAGGCACGGTTTCTTCATATAGGCGGAAGTGATGCCCGCTCTCTTCATGTATGCCTCCATTGTGCTCAGCGGGAATTGAAACTTTAATTTTTTTACTTCTTCTAACACTTCCAGTGGATTCAAATGTGTCCATTGTAACTTGTGTTTGAGATGACTGAAAGAAAATCAATATTTAAATTCTGATGTACTCTGAATAAAATACAATATTTTTTAAAACGCTTATGTCCATGTGTGTATATCATATATCGTATATAATAATTGGAGCCAGTACTTGTACTAGATATTATATTAATATACTTACATAATACATTATTGACAAGTTAACAAGCAAGCAACAAATCTTAAAATCAATTGACCGTATTATGTCAATTGCCATTAATCTTAATCAAGATCTTTAAACTACACAGCTATAATGTAGTGGAGGATCATAACATATGTACATATTTGCAAATAAATACGTAGGCAAGTTTTTACATATAAATGTATGTATTTTTAGAGTAATAGACAAAATGGCTAAGAGGTACAAAACTCACGGTACAAAAATAGGATAGTCAGGGCCTAGCAACTTGGAGCCTTCCCAGAAGCAATCGAGGGGTGTGATGATCGCGCAAGGAATAACGTTGTCGATGATCGACTCAATATGGTGATAGCCTTCAAAGTCAGGTATGCTTGGACTATAACACAAATCTTTGAGACGCCACTCGATATCGTACATATGAACTGTCACGCCAGTCGCTACACGTACCACCTTAAACAAAGAGACAATAGCATTAATAAATATTCTTTTATGTTTACCGCACAACTTCATGTGTTAAATATTTTATACTTTAATTTGAAACTGATAAATTTTCATACCTTTAGGTGTTCTAGTAGCGCACCCGGATGCAGTAACGAGACGTCTGGATCTTTGGCAGTTTGTATTACTAGCTGGTGCGTCGAGGAGTCCGCCTCACCCAACGCCTGAGCTGTATACTTCAATTCAGCTTCTAATCTACCGCCCTCTGTAAAAACATTGCAAATTAGAAAATATTGATCACATATACTTTTGACTTAGGACGTAAAATAGTATAAAAAATGTGCGAATCTCAGATAACATTAACGGAAGAAATATAATGTTAAACATTCAAATTACATTTAAATTCCCTTATATTTAACAATTTAGTAGTTATTCTAGATTACCCAACAACACAATTCCGTCTTCTTACATTGTAAGTCTAAGTACAAAACATTCCTTTTATTTTATGCACTAACGGTCATTGTACTGAGAAGAATAAAATAAGTATCATTATGTCGTCGTATCTATGCAACTTTATATTTGTGTAATACATACATCTACATTGTGTATCTACACAACAACATTTCATAAAACTTTATTTTTATGCTTTGAAACGTGCTCAAGTAATTAAAAACCTATATTTAAAGTAAAGTTGTCGGGATATCTTGACTGATATCATTATCGTTCATTATTATAGTTATTTTTGAAACCTATTTAATATAAGTGAGACAGTGGTAGCCCAGTGGTAACGAGCTCGTTTGGGAAACCTAGTGAAGCGGGTTCAAATCCCGGGTCTCGCACCTCTGATATTTTCATGTACGAATCATTTCCAACATGATTACCACTTGTCTTAACGGTGAAAGAAAACATCGCGAGGAAACCTGCATGTCGGAGAGAACCCAAGTTTTCAAAAGACATGTGAAGTCCGCCAACCCGCACTTGGCCAGCGTGGTGGGCTAGGGCTTTATCCCCCTCGTACTATAGGGAGGCCCGTGCCCAGCATTGGGACGTTAAAAAGCACTGAATACATACATACTATTTAAGTAAAAATATCTGTACTAGGTGGTCCATTATTACGAATAAATTTTATGTATATCTTAGCATGCAATGCGTAATGTCAGCTTTAACAACTTTATTAATGGAAAGGCAATAAAGCCTGGATTAAATTAGTATCTTTTTATCGCAGATGCGAGCCCTATCCGCTTTGGTTCATTAAAATAAATCGTCACTTAATACGATTGTCGTTACACTCGGACATCTTAATTTACTTATTCATGCTTCTTGCCCTTCGTATCAGATAATGGCCGCCTATGGCTGCATTTACATAAACTTGAATAGATTTATTAAACTTTCTTCGCATTATATTATTAAATTTAAGAAATTAAATATGCAATTATCTTTGGAATGCATTCTTTTAATTATTATCTATTTAAACTATTTGTAAAATAAATATATTTAACTGTTTAAAGGGCTGTTATATCGAATGACTACTTGCATTACATATTTTAAAGTTATAGGTACTTCTTTTGGGACGATTGGAAAAAAATATGAGAGTTAAATTTTTACGATGCACTTGCACAGCGACAGGCAACAAGCGATATGATGAAGTTAGCTGAAAGCGACATGATGAAGTTAGCTGATAACTGTTTGTTGCCATGGTAACCGTTGTTATTGTCTGACAAATTATACATAATATGTTGTATGGTATTCTTTCCTTAAATAATATTCTATGAATATATGATTGTAATATGCCTAATTATTTAATTTATCATTCCTTTTACAAACAGAGAGTTGTGACATACGGGATGAAATCTTTAGCTATTTTTGTTCTGTTACGCCAAAGAAGTATAACATCTTACGTGCGTACATAAGTACAAACACTTTTTTTTTTATTAAGTTTAAAATTTTGCGTAGACCTAGAAATCAAAAGAATTATAAAGGGAAACGAAAAAAGTTTTTTTTTTTTAAAAAAACCTTTATTTAACAAGCCAGGCACTCAAGCATGTAAAAAAGTGCTGTCTAATTTTAGCTTATCCCATCAACGCCTATAGCTTATTGGAGTGTCGACACATTTGTTATAGGGCGGGGTGGAGACGTGATAGTTAACACTGTCAAGGTGATTTATAGAAAATGTGGCAGTCTTGCGACCTGCGCTACAGCAGAATGCCAGCTAATTAAAAAATATACATATTTATTTGTTATTTTGAAAAGAAATGTTGTTTTGTTAGCTATAGAAACGTTTTTGGGCATGATTTAAATATTATTTCAACGGTTTACTTATTATGCTCTACTGTTCATTTCGGATAATATTGATCGAAAGAAGCTAATGAAACTTTTTTTTTAGTTAATAGGTATTTTAATAACTACTAATGAAAGATAAATTTTAAAAATCTTGAATAAATGTTGTTATTATATTACAAAAAAAATTTGTAAAGGCAGCTAGCCTCCGAAACCTAAGTTGTTTGGTTCAACGTACTTTATCTGGAAACGTCACGAGGATTCGTTCCAATTAACACCCGCCCTGCTGATTCGTAGTCCGGTTTACTTTTTTGCCAGATATCAGGTATGTAAAGTGTTAGAAAAAAATCTGAACAGCATCCTACGTTCTACTGCCAATTCCGAAAAGAGATATGAATCTTTTTATTTAGTAACATTTGTAATAAAAACAAGGAATCTGCTTAGGTATTTTCGTCCACGACTACTCCAATTTTATACAGTTACAAAGATCAAAAATAACATACTTTAATACTGCTACACAAATTAAATTATAAAATACTAGCATTGCCCGCGGCTCCGCCCGCGTTCAGATGACCAAAAATCAAATTCTTAGGTTTTACATACTAGTATACTCTTACATTGCAGTTTTTGTATTTTTCTTAGAAATGAAATATTTTCTCGCAGTAAAAAGTATCCTATATGTTGACCCGGATAACCATCTATCATCATACCAAATTTCATCAAAATCTATCTAGTGGTTTTCCCGAGACGCGGTAACAGACAGACAGACAAAAATTCTAAAAACTACAGATTCGGTCTCTTTATCGATAATAAAGTCTATTTCAATAAAATTTTCTAAAAAATATCCAATGTACAGATTCGGCTTAGTTACAATTTTATTATATGTACCTATAGATAATAAGTTTTCAAAACATTGTATTAAACTTTTCATTTCAAGAGGGCATAGAACTTTGAGCACCCTACACTAAGTTTAAAAATGTTTTACTAGGAATAGACGTTTGTGTGCATTGGCTAAGGACATGTGTCCTGAAATGTCTCACGATGCTGTAACGTGTATCTGAGGCAGTTAACGCCTTCACACTGCACACAAGGAATGCCATTTATTTTGGTCGCTAATTTATGAAGCTCGCTCAGTTCACAAGAAAATAAAACATGAGGGACGACATGTTTTGAAATTAATTATATTATTTTTATAAAAATAACTTCTATAAAGTTATAATGAACTAGTGTTGCCCGCGGCTACGCCCGCGTTCAGATCACCAAAAACCAAATTCTTAGGTTTTTACATACTAGTGTACTCTTAGAATGCAGTTTTTGTATTTTTTCTTAGAAATGAGATATTGACCCGGATAAACAGATATCACCATACCAAATTTCAGCAAATTCCCTCCAGTGGCTTTTATGTGATGCGCTAACAGACATACAGACAGACAGACAAAAATTCTAAAAAGTATAGATTCGGCCTCTGTATCGATAATAAATAATATTTATGTCAATAAGATTTTAAAAAAAATATTTAATGTACAGATTCGTCTTAGTTAAAATTTTATTATATGTATAGATTACACTATTTACTACTTTATAGAAATACAATTAAAACAATAGCCATTAGCTTCCTATCTTAAGTCAGCTTATTATCATGTTAATGCTATTGTGTTTCGCGGAACATTCTATATGTAAATTAAATTAAGGCCACGAGGGTTGATAAAAACGTGATTGACGCTTCAAATTTTTTTGTAAATATATGTATTTCTGATGAATGAGTATAAAAAATATATCTTTATCATAATCGCTTTATGCAATATGTACTTTTATATATGTAATTTATATATTGAATATGAATATATCTTTTCTTACTTATATTTATAAAGATATATATTGTCTAAAATTGAATTAAGTCAGCCCTGTTAGTTGTTAAGATTAAATATTGCTGACCCCGCTTCTGCCGGATATTAGGGATCATCATAAAGCAAATGAAATGGAATCGAGCTTAGTTGGCCCGCACAGGACGTCTCTATTTTAACACCTTCTAAGCCGTGGGCGCGATTTACAGCACGCATGCCACTTTAGAACTCATGGAAATCAATCCTATTAAACACTTTCTCTATAAATAAAATAATGTTCCAATAAATAGCAATATGAGAACTTAAAAGTAATAATTATGTAGAAGAAAATAGCAGTTAAATTAATCGTCGTAACTTAAACCAATACGTCATGTTCCGGAGAAAACGTCTGTATATTGTTATATGGTATACAGTTACATGGCTCTATCTTTTAAGGTACCGTGTATCGCCTAAGCTGCTTCATTGCATAATGTATCTCAGTCAGCTCGGATAAGGCTGCGAGGTCATTGCAGGTTATATTCTTATTTAACGTTTTGGATTATCCACGTTACTTAACTGGCAAAATTTTCACAAATGTCACGGTCCACACTTCCTTACGGCACAATCTCGTTTGTCTTGGTAGACTTTGCTTGAAATATATACCACAGGAACGCATCCAGTGAAATAAGACACTAGGTCTTGAAAACATAATTAATACTAGGAATGATAACTATTGAATATATTATGTCTACAGTCAATGCGAATGTAGTATCTTTTATTATATTCTGAATGCGTGCACGTCGATAATGACAATGTTCCTACTCGATGCGGTAGCGAACGATCAGCGCGGTCGATCGCAATGAATGACGTCTCGGCGGGCGGGTTGCGGGGCGGGCGGTACGTGCGCTCGCGCATGTGGTTGTGGCCACCCGCGCGCGCCGCACGGTGCCCGTGTGGTCCTCCGCCGTCCCGCGCAACCTCACCGAGCCCTCTATGCAAATTAGCCAGCGTAGACAACAGATGGATAGCGGAATAAACAAACTGTCTTTTCAACGAATTGAAACTCTAATAGACCCAAAAATCATATTAGATATTGGTACATTTGAAAATATTTATAATGTGATATTGACCTTGCAAATAAGAAAAATCTAGTTTCAAATTGCAGAATCTAGTTTTTTTATCTTCTCACCGGATTCCGAATAGAGCCAGTATAACATTTACAGTTTGATAGTGAAAGTTACTACATTCTTAATTATAAGCGATGGCAGTGAATATTGTTAAATTCCGGTCATGGACAGTAAAATATTCAGGTAAAATGAAGTTTGTAAATAAAAAAATCGAGGCTAGTGTTTGTGATAAGAGAGAATAAGAGCGCAGTATTAGGAATAAAATATATGTATTATTATTATTATACACGACTAATAAATAATTTATTTTTATTTTGTCATGTTTTTATTCTCTAGATATGCACATCGCACACAACAGAAAACTTTTATAGCCCCTAAATTACTTGTGTCCCCGAAATAATGTTATAATAGAGTTTGACCCTGATCATGGTTCAAATTGGTAAGGGCCAGCCAGTTTATGACGGCCCGTGTCATGGTTTAAATTCGTCGAAAAAGAAGACGTCTCAATCTCATGGGGTCTCAGGCAAGGAACGAGCGCTGTGTGTCGAAGCGCAGCACGACGTCTCTACACAAAAGCGAGTCGGACAATCAAACCTCCATTTTTTGTGTCTCGATAGATGTGTTATACATTTTTTGTTTTATTGGTCGTAATTTCACGTAGGGATATTTATGAGTGGCCGCGGACCACCTAATTAAGTTGTTAGACGACTTCAGGACGTTTTCGTATTATTTAACACCGTCGGCTTTGTATTGCGATAAGGCTTAGTAAGGCCGTTACCTTTTTGTTATTGTACGGTAGCAGTTTATCATAGATGAATTTAAATAGTTTGTTTGTGTAAGTAATTTTAAATGACTGCTTTAGTATTCATAGAAGAATTTTTATAATGTAAAAAGGATGAGAATAAAGAGACTTAAATAAAGGCTTTATATTTTAAATGAAACTATCTTTTCGGATTTTTTCGCGCATTTATTTAGATTTTTGGTTCCCGACGTTTCGAATGCTTTACAGCAATCATGGTCACAGGAGAGACTGAGGTGTTAGATGTCTCAAAGGTATAATTGTTACAGACAGCCTACCCGCAAATAACAAACAAAAGGCTTTATATTTTCGAAACTTGTAGAAATCAAGAAAATGAAAGAGAAACAAGGAAGTATACATATATATATGAGTATTCATGTTGTTGTATTATTTTCAAGAGCAAGCGAAGGGCTCGCGACGCGACAGGTGCATCAATAAATTCGCTCACTTCCTCTCATATGTCTGCACTTTTTGCAAAAGCAAAAATGTTGATTGGAAATCTGTTTACATTGAATTTATATCATTTATATTACTTGCCTGATATTTTAGCTATATAAATAGCATAATATTATGTAAAAGGTGTATTTATATACTACGTAGTTAGGTACGGGAATATTTAATATGGATTATGGTTAACCTATAAAATAAAAATAACAAAACCTTTTCAACTACTATTTCAAATGGAGATCGACTCTGGCCTATTATTTTATTAAAAAATCATTGATCAAATTGCCATAAATAACATTTAAGTGTGTCTTGCAGTTCAACGCGCGGTCAAGGACAATTTTACATAGAGAGCACAATAACTAAGAAAATAAAATTTTACAACGCCTTATCTGTAACGATAAAATCTACTCGTTACATACATCTGCGCTTTGCACTATCGACTGTATGTAAGTAATTTTATTGTGTGCTTAGTTATGTATATTGCGTGAGCAAATGACAATTTTGCTTATAGAAATGTTAGAATATCCTGTAATATAAATTGTAGTACATTTTTAACCGACTTCCAAAAAGGAGGAGGTTCTCAATTCGTCGGAATCTTTTTTTTATGTATGTTCACTGATTACTCGAAGACGCTTGAACCAATTTGGATTTTTTTTTATTTCAAAGGGTATACTGACCAGGTGGTCCCATATAAATTTTATCGAATTCGGCCAAGCGGTTTTTTTAAATCAACTAATAAATTATTTATTTAAATAAATTGCTTAATCGAACATATTATTAAAAATCTTTCTTCTAACAAATTACCTGCTAATTACGTCTACACTAAAAATGGACAAGTAAAAACTTAAAAAAAACCGACTTCCAGGAACTAAAATGTAAAAAATGAATAAACGGGGGTTTTCATTTAGAATAGATACCTAATCAGATATTTTCGAAGTCGGTGCCAGCCGACAATATTTTAAGATATGAATATCTAATAGGCAAATATGTATGTGTTTTGCGTATCAACATATATTAGATTTGCTTTGCATCGGCTGGCACCGACTTCGAAAATATCTGATTAGGTATCTATTCCAAATTAAAAACCCCCGTTTAGTTATTTTTTACATTTTAGTGCCTGGAAGTCGGTTTCTATTCTTTTATAAAGTTTTTATTAACAACTACTCTTATACTTTTTACTCGACAAAAATAAACATTTTTTAAGTATAAATATTTAGATACACCTACTTTATTGTTATAAAACCCGCATAGGATGTGCATCCTCTATGATGATGAAGTTCCGGGAGTTACCGCTATAGTTCTAATAAATATTCTCGAATTTAAATGCTAGACCTTCACACATATATATTATAAGTAACGAAAAAATTAATTCTCAAAAAACAAATAAAATATCTGTCATATTTTATTAATCTATACATATAATAAAACTGTAACTAAGCCGAATCTGTTATTAAATATTTTTTGGAAAATCTTATTGAAATAAACATTATTATCGATACAAAGGCTGATCTTGTAGTTTTTAGAATTTTTGTCTGTCTGTCTGTTACCGCATCACAGAAAAACCACTGGAGGGATTTTGATGAAATTTGGTATGGTGATAGCTGGTTATCCGGGTCAACATATACGACTTTTTACCGTGGGAAAATATCTCATTTCTGAGAAAAAATACTTAAACTGCAATGTCAGAGTATACTAATATGTAAAACCTAAGAATTTGGTTTTTGGTCATCTGAACGCGGGCGGAGCCGCGGGCAATGCTAGTAAGGAATAAGCTTCGATCAACAATATTGTTGATCGAAGGGAATAAGGATATTTCTTTACAATAATTCGATTACCTAAAACTAACTTCACTTTTAACCTCAGAAGTTAAATTTTGTCTGTCATAAAATTATAAAGTTCACATCTAAAGATTAGTTAGATAGGACAAATATAAATTCCCGGGTGCTGTCTTAACTATTTATGAGAGAGAATTTTACGAGTTGACAGCCGACCACCAATGAATTCAATAAACAACGCGCGGCCAGTAATAAATTGCCAATAAAATGTTACAAACGTACAAAAAGAATTTTGCAATAAGAATTATATTTTTTAGTTTATATTTATGTAAGACTTGTACTAAAAGTCAATTAGTCTTATATTTTTGTAATTTTAATTATATGTTAATGAACGTAGTCATCAGTTGTAATTAAGGTGTAATATTATAATTTAAGCATTAATAACTTCCTATGCAGAGTGCATCAAACACACCTACTCAACCAATCTACTCAACGCGCACGTTCCATCCATAAAGTTGGTTCAACCCACAATTATGTTGTATATTTGATCAAGCTATACGCAATGTAATAAAGTTTAATTTGAAACACAATGACACTACCAAATGTACCGGACACATGTAGGCATTAAAGAGATGTTTGAGGAATTTAAATTTGCCATGTTTGTCGTATATGGTGTCTAATGTACCGCGGCTCGCTGTGTAGTCGTGGCCGAATGCCGCGCACGTCGCCAGAGACGGAAGCGGCCAGCTCAGACGTACCAGTTGCCCGATACCCAAAGCCCGCCTTAGTGCATTGGTATTCAACGAAATGCACATTGTATTTATCTGATGTACTTTTACGGTGTTTAGATTGTATACTCTCGATAATGGCGCGTAGTCGACTGCAGTTAAATAATTAAAAAACATTTGACCTACCTTGAACCCAGAGTTGGTCCACTCTTGTGTGTATTTGAGCTGACTTGAGGCCAACACAAAACGTGGACAAGACCAAGATGGCAACAAATAAAACTTTTCCGGCGTCCCCTTGTAGAAAGCAGCCTAATATAAACAGCTGTTCTTGAAGCCACGCTCGGATCCACAGTGAAGTTCTCCCGCCTTCTATATTACCCTGAAAAGAAAAGCAAATCTTTAAACTACCATTGATATTGCTATAGACAAATTAAATGATTCTCGTAAAACGATATAAAGTAATAATCAGAAGGATCCATTGTGCCGCTACTTTAGAAAATTAAACCAACAAAATCTATACATATAATAAAATTGTAACTAAGTCGAATCTGTACATTAAATATTTTTTGGAAAATCTTATTGAAATAGAATATACATTAATATCGATACAGAGTCGCAATCTATAGTTTTTAGAATTTTTGTCTGTCTGTCTGTCTGTTACCGCGTCACGAGAAAACCACTGGACAGATTTTGATGAAATTTGGTATTATGATAGCTGGATACGGACAACATATAGGATACTTTTTACCGCGGAAAAATATCTAATTTCTGAGAAAAAATACAAAAACTGCGTTGTAAGAGTATACTAAAATGTAAAACCTAAGAATTTGATTTTTGGTCATCTGAACGCGGCCGGAGCCGCGGGCAATGCTAGTAAATTAATATTATGCACCTTACCTAACATTTTTTAGTACACTTTTGTAATTCGAGATACACACACGATGAATGTATGCACAGCGTATTGGTAGCGAGCAAAAAGTGCTCATACTACATTTTCATTTAAATATTTTCAACAGAAATGGATAATAAAATTTACGATTCATGTGTTAAGATATCAATGAATATTAAACAGTAGCTCGTATGTTTATCGTCGAATCTATATATTTGAAGTAATCATTATCGATGCTTTGGCGGAAGATGTAATGGCACGAGGTTTTAAACGTCGAAATAATTTCCGAGTTGATTGTGATTAATGAGAGATGCGGGCGGGCCCGGCGGCGAATACGTGGCGCCATGCAGCGGTCATGCCGACCACGACTTAGGCGCTGGGCACATGGTCTCCGATAAAACCAAATTGTTATTGATTAAATCTAATGAAAATAAAAAACTTTAACAAATTTTTAAAGTATAATTTTATCATGATTCAAAATTGGTTTACTCAATTATTATAAGGATGTAAAGGTGGTACCCACAACTCTACATGATAGTACCTATAATAGAACATTTTTTCTATTTCTTTCTTTAAACTCTATTAATAAAAGTATCGATAACATTTATTGGAAGGAATCTTTCAAATTGTAGTCATTAAAAGTAGCACGTTGGTTATCTGATATCTCTTTTAAATTAAAGCTCAAATGCACAAAGTGGCCACGACGGCGGCCCAGGCCATGGTCGCCTAGATAAAGTATGTATCGCTTCTATTATAATATATTAGTTTTAATTATTATATTGAATATAACGTAATCGTAATACGGATCGCTTTCGTGTCGCATGCATATTGCATACCTACGTGTTCCGGTCGCACAGTGCGCGGGCGGAGTTAGTGATGAAAGAATATTATTAAATATTTTTATGATAAATCTGTATTATTTTAACAAATTAAAAATACAAAATGGGACGACACTTAAGTATCAAAAGTTTTAGCTAACGAGATTTTACCTGAAATTTTGTATTCCAAAAAAAAACTGTATTTAGGTAAACTGATTATAGCAATGGCCTTATTTTTAAGGCCATCATTTTATTTAAAAACAAATTTTGATTCTAAAGAGATAGATAATAAAGATATAATTTTAAGAATGTTTCCATTTGAGAAATATAAAGACTAACCTATTGGTAATAAATCATTTGCCATGTAACTGTTAAAAAGATAAGGCTCGTCCAACAACTTAAATAAACGTGCGTATAATATTTATACGTATATCTTAATTTCTTCGAAAAAAAAACATTAAGGGAACACTTAATTGATCTTGTCTTGCGCTATAATATAAGTAAGTCAATCCAACAGATAGCCTTTATCGTAAAAACTTTAAGGTAAGGAAATAAAATATACAGCCAATGCAAATAAAAAATATACGCGAATATTTTTTAAGAAATTTGTAATTTATTGTACATTGCTTAGTAAGGTTTATTGAACTACTACGTAAACAAGCAAAACCAATCAAGTTTGGCTCGTTAAAGATAAAAAAATTCAATGAAAATTTTGGTTAAATGTAGGTACTTTCAACTATTCAAATATAATTACATATTTATAAAACATAATCAAAATCTTATCGGTTTCGTTCCTATAAATTCTATTAAATATAGTATGGCACAAATGAAGATCATAAGAAGTACACAAGTACATATATAAAAATGAGGCAATCTCCATCCTGAATCCATCATGAAATTTTGAGTTTTCTAGTAAGTTACTTTAAAAATTAATATAGTTAAAGTAATACTTTAGTAAATTTCTTGAGATGAATGGATATTAAAGCTGACAAGCCACGTTGGGTGGGCGTGACGTCACAGGCGGAATGCGCCCGCGCCACCCGCACCTCTACCTACGTAGCACTGGTCTGACTATCCACCATACGTATACAATATCATAACCTGTATGAATGGTCGGAACCAAGCAAATACATAAGTATATTTTAAAGGATAATTAAAAAAATAATGAATATGTTTTAGATATATTAGTAACATAAAACTAAGCCGTTAAAGGATATAAGTGATGTTTATATTCACGTAAGCGTTACGGGATTAGCCTGAGATCTGCAATGCGGACGCGTTGGAGACACTTCCTCTAGATAACAGATCGGGTCATTGTGTGCACGTTCTCACGTCTGCTGGCTGCAACGGCCGTTGCTCTGATAAGCGTCCCTTGCATTCAAACCTTTCTCACTATATGCCAATACATGTGATAAGCCCTCTAACAACACGCTTCCGGCAATTGTTTATATTCGCTCGTTTACCAATATATTTACTATATATTAATTGAATGCCTTTAGTAGAATTTCTGCACATTTCAATGACTATTATTACTCGCATGATGTAAATAGATGTTTTTATCGTCTCACAGGAAACGGTGTTCAGATAAATTTAGACTAGGTACATCTGGATGATATGCCGCCCGCCGGCTGACTTTGTGTCTTATCGTGGGTCGCGCCAGTTGTAATTATTATCTATTTGATGGCTGAGTAAGACGCCTGTAAGTAGTAGTATTTTATAATTATATTAGGGGTATCAAAAATAGTTTACGTCCTATTCTCAGAGCTACTGAATATACACACAAAATTTCATAAGAATCGGTCTAGCCGTTTCGGAGGAGTTTTATTACAAAAACTGTGACATGAGAATTTTATATATATGTATTAGATAAATCAAGGCTTGTTATTACAATAATATTTAATTCTATTAAATTCTTTTATTGGAACAAAATTTCATTTTATAATAGTTAGAATTAAAAAACTTAAAATGTAATTAGTTTTCTGTAAAATTTAATTATTTTTAATTATTCATTTTAAATAATTAATAATAACAATAAAAATATCATATTTCGAAGTTATTTACGTGATCTTAAACGTAAGTAATGTAGGTAATTAAAATGACTATCAAGGACATTCGTGTCGTCAATTGGCCAGTCGAGCACGCTCGTCAGCTTCTGAATGTCAATGACACCTGCACGACTTTACGTAATTTTGGAATGACCATTGTACCATCTTATTAGGTACTTTTATTTACATTGTACGGCAAATTTTGAATTTCTATTGAAATCTTATCAGATAGCTTAGAAAAGGATGTAGATCTACAATCTACGAGTATTCTTGTACAATGTCTGCTTTATTATACCGTCAAAACTGGTATTAATAAGAGCAGAGCGTTAAGTTACCGGTATTTATAATAATTAATGTATCTACTTATTTTAGTATCTATATCCGAATTATACCATAAATATTTAAAACGTCAGAAAACAAAATTGTGGAAATCTTATTGCATCAAAAACATAAATATGAAAATGGGAGCCAAGTTCAATATTATGTGGGTGTTTGTGTCAACTTCACCGACAAAAGAATTGAGATCTAAATAGGTGCCAAGTTCTGTAGATAATCCTGATTTTTTTTTATAAGAACATACAACATTCTAAAATAAATTTAAAACACAATTTCTTGTTTTTTCTGCTACAAAAGTGTTTGCATTTAAAAATAGAACTTCTTAAATTTGAACAGTCTTGATATGCCTGATAAACTGTTATTGCAGTGGAAAACTGCAGTAGATACATGAAAGTAATTACATGCGAAAATTATATGGGTTTTTACGTAACACTTGACATAATTATTTGCTTAAATTTTACTATTAATCTTACATGTGTGTATGTATTATTTTCAACATTCATTTGTTATAAACCTAAAGATTTGCATCTTAAGTTTCATCTGAACGGGTGCGCAACTTAGACCAGCTTGGCAACTGGCTTCCCTCAAGGCGGCGGATCCCCTTAACCTTATATCCAAGAAGAACATAGTTTTTCCTGAGGTGAGGAACAAAAATTATGTTTCTCTGTAATACTTACTTATTAGAAAATACATAATATCTTTATCAAGATAGCAGAACATTTTCTACCTTTAACGCCAAACGAGCAAATTTATGGATTTAAGGTAGTAAGTAATAATAACGAGAAAGTTACCAACTACAAGACAGGCATGGAACCGGTCAGAACGGCCATGTGACTTCGCTTTACCGATAAAACACTAGGTTACTAGAATCGTACATATTATAAATACTAGCGACTCACCCTCGCTACGCTCGGGTTCCTCCCTAGGTCATTTTTTAAATTGACATAACTTTTTTATCTATGAACCGATTGAAATAAAACAAATACTAAATGTTAAGTGAAGCTAAGTACATTAGTGGAAACCGCACCTAAATCGGTTAAGCCGTTACTGAAATTAGCGCGCACAAATGCACAAACAAACATTCTATAAATCATTGTTTTGGGTTCTATTTTGCGTTAATAAAGACTCTCAATAATAGTTTTTTTCTCAAATATCTTCCATGTATACACAGCAATCAGTTACACGTTTATTATATGTATAAATATGGATGGCAGTTATTCATTCGATCAATATTTGAATAAAATCTATCCACAATTCAAAAATTGCTTGAAGTCCATAACACTGATTAGTGATTACACAAGATAAAGACCTTAATTTTAAATTATGAACATTATCTTATTTTCCATTTTAATTAAAACACGTAAAACCCCATTTCATCTTAATAAAATTTATAAACGTTATGGGTGTACTTTTAGTTATTATTATTTTCAAAAGAAACATCTACATTGTATTTAAGTCTAGTGATCTATGAAGAGAGCTGGACATATGGCAATTTATTGAATCGGAAGCAGGGAGCAATGATGAGTAAAAATGGCAATGTGCACTGATGTGTACAAACCACGTGTTGCGTTCACTGAGCAACAAGCACCGTATTGGTAATCAACAAATCATTTACGATGTAATTCGACACTTGTGGTTAAAGCAAAATGCTTGCATTCTTTGTGGTTTGCCCTGATTTTTTAAATGAAGATATTAAACATGCCAATAAAGGTCTATCTCGATTAGTATTAACTCGATTCTGGCGGTAATACCATCGAACATTACTTAATATCAACTTTTATTTTCAACCGACTTCCTCAAAAAGGAGGAGAGGTTCTCAATTCGGCTGTATGTATTTTTTTTTTATGTTTGTTACCTCAGAACTCCATCTTTTATTAACCGATTTGGACAATTTTTGTTTTGTTTGACAGTGTATATTTCCAGATTGGTTTCATTTAAATTTAAAAAAAATACCACCCCTAAGGGTGGAAAAATACATAAATATTTACTATACATACGTAATTAAATAATTTCGAAGTCGGTGCCAGCAGCTACTAAGTAAAGCACACCGACTTCGAAAATATTTGATTCCGTATGTATAGTAAATGAAAACTACCAATCAATTATTTTTTACTTTTTTGTGCTTTTTTTGAAGTTGGTTTTTATTTTTTTGTTAATAAGTTTTTTGTACTAAGATTATTACTGTATGAGTATTATTTAAAAAAAAACACTTAAAAAATACTTTCATTTCTTTAAAGATGAATGTTATATAAAGGAGAAAATTCAATATTCTAAGAATAGTTCATTAGCTATTCTATTAAAGAAAATACCCAGAAGTCGGATGCACATTTGAAAATCGTGGGTGTAGTAACAATCATTTATAGGTTTCCAGCGCAGCTGCCGGCCGCCGGTGCACGCAATGTTTGGACGAAGATAACACATACAAAAGGAAACAAGTTGAAAGGAGATGAAAGACTCTTTAAAAGAAAGGGAAAGAGACAGTTCCATATGCAAGTAAAAAAGGGATGGAAGATCGGAAACCACAAGATGTCTCAATTCCACGAGGCGAACGCTGTGCGGTCCTACAAGATACACATTTTTAAGAAATAAATACATTCTTTAGTAAAAATAAGTTAAAACTTAAAAGAACAAATTATGTAATCGTTTCAATCGATGCGCCAAGTTATTTCATGATATATTTTAGTATTAACAATGCTATTTCTATTTTATTTATATAATTTATATATTGTATAATATACTTTTAAGTAACAATAAATATTGATAAATAATAATGTTTTATACCTAATCAACATTTAATGGACTTAATCTCAACAGAGTCAAAAAAATATACTCTTATATATTATTCTTAAATAACAGTGTTCGGTTCGATAAACGGCATTCTCCGCGTTGATGTCTCTATCGGCGCCGCTAGTGCGCGTGCGCAGCTCCGCGCCTTTCCCGCTGTGCCTTAATTGCTTCATCTCGCATACGACCGACTTACAATATCTACCTACCTAAACTACTATTCAATGTCTACAATATTATTATTACACGTACAGCTGTTTTTCTTGCTCAATAGCCAGTTTTAAAAATCTTTTCACATAATATCATATGTAGCAGTTTAAGATTGGAGTAAATAGAGAGAAGTTTATAAATAATATTTACTTGTAATTTAACCTTTTTGCATCGTATAGTTAATCATTTATTTGAAAGAAAGATTTGCAATAGAAAATAGAAAGTTTTAATCACCATCTTCAACGGCTCTACAAAACAAAATTAATATTTTAACGAATTTAATCTTTTTTTAAAATAGATCAGTAAACTTTTTAAATTATAATTGTTAAGCATTTAAAATCTATATTAATGAACAGAATTATTTTTCTTTCTCTCTTTAATAATCAGTACACCTGAACTCTACTTAATTTAAAAATTTAATTTCGTGCAAACTTAATTCCAATATTTACGTTATCAATGACAATCATGGTTTGCGTAAAAGCCTTTAAAGTACGCGCGGCCTTGATAGTACTCACTATTACCACTAGCCGGCGCCACGGATCCATGCTAAGCGCGTTCCTAAACGAATTGACATTCGCAGAAAAACAATCACACGTGCAATATGACAGTCGAAATTTGACACTGATACTTCAAAAAACTAATGAAAACTGCACCTTTTCAAGTTCGGAGAGAGCGAGGGCGGCATCCACCCAACTGGTACGTATGTAAAGATCAGCGCTGTGGCGCGCCTCGGCGGCGGAGGGGCTCTCGTGTACGGCCGCTATCCGAGGATTCGAAGGAGCCTCGGAATTGGGAGCCACCATGATCTCGGGGCCAGACTTGTCACCAGTATCCTCATGAAGACGGCCGGAATCCGTCTAGCGGCGCACGCTGTCATATCACTCGCCGCCACATAACCACACACTTGTACACCCAAATTCAACACTTCTGTTTATCACTGACCGAACGAAACACGGAACGACACCGAGTTTCGATTTTCTAGTAAAACAGGAATCACGTATGGACACTGGCGCAACCCGAGCGGTACTGAATCAAATACTAGCTGGATACATGTACTGGATGTTTGTGGAGCCGCCATCATGATTTGGTCGATCATGTTGCCGCTCTTGCGTACGAAGGCGTCCGAAAGTCACCGAGAATAACCGAGGCTACAGTTGTAGGACCACACACGTAAATCATCTATCTCACTCTACTCTCTAGAAGAGGGGATGTGACGCAGTAAAATAAGAGCATTGAATGAAACTGCTTGCATGAGCACCACAACAAGTTACGTTTTGATTGTTACACATATTACTACTTTTATTCAACCATTAGTATGCTTATATTCAGTTATAACTAATTAAGAAAATATATGTTTAAGCCTTGGCATTATCATATTTTTGTAATCTCTGAATAGTAAAAAATAAAAACTTGTCATTTAATAATTTGTATAAATAATTTTAGTAACTTAAACAATTCTTTCTAAACAACTAACACAAGAAAGAGCATTTGCTGGTTAAACATTTTCTCTGTATACAGATAATAAAGATGGATCAAACATTCGGACGCGCTATATTATTTTGTTTACAGAGTTTTCTTAGTAAAAAGTCGAGCGAACGCGCCCCTGGCAAGACGGCATATTGGCCCTTTGAAGTTACCGACATAAAACGCCGCCGGCGGTGATTTAACTAATGAATTTATTTAGCAGGCGTGCCGAGAGAGTGCCTCCGAGTCAACTCCTTCTATATAACTATAGAAGAAAACTAAAAATTCCTAATAAATACCTATACGGAACGTTATTATCACATCGTCCATCAAAAATGGCCCTTCGAGCCATGAAAGGATAATCTTCTGTCATGTGGGTATGGTAATTCAGTCGATCGATCAAAATTAACGACAAGTTACAAAATTATATTTACTTTATTTATGTCTTCTATTTATGTAATTAGTTTAAGATTATCTAAAATGTTTTTATTTTAATTATTAAACTCAGACTCTGTTCACAAACAAACATTTCAATTATTTCTTTTAAATTTAAATGTTTAAAGTTAGTACACCACATTTGATCAAAATCCCTCCAGTGGTTTTTCCGTGATAATAGACAGACAGACAGATAGACAAAAATCTAATAACTATAGATTCAGCCTCTGTATCGCTAATAATGTCTATTTCAATAAGATTTTCCCCAAAATATTTAATGTACAGATTCGGCTTAGTTACAATTTTATTATATGTATAGATTAAGAGGGTACAATTTCTTGAAAACACATTCGACATTATGAAAAATAATCTGGCAGTATTGTTCCTTTCCTACATTGTTTTGTGCGATATGCTTTATAATTTACCACGTTGATTCCCCATACAAACTTTCATCCCCATTTTCAACTTTTTAAGGGATGATTTCCGGGCTAAAAAGTATCCTGTCCTTCTCAGGGTCTCAAACTATCTTCTTACTAAAATACATCTAAATCGGATCAGTAGATCCAGAGATTACCCCCTACAAGCTCACAAACTCACAAACTTTACCTCTTTATAATATTACTAGTCTCTTTGGTAGGTTGACTTGTACTTATTCTTATTATATTTTTAGTTAGTTTTTAGAAACAAAAATGTGTACTCAGACATATATATTTATGTACTAGCGACTCACCCTCGCTTCGCTCGGGTTGATCCCTAGCTTGCTTTCTCATACAAACTTTGATCCCCATTTTCCATCCCATTTTTCGGGGTGAACCCCGATGATTTCCGGGCTAAAAGTATCCTATATCCTTCCCAGGGTCTCAAACTATCTTCATACCCAATTTCATCTAAATCGGTTTAGTAGATCCAGAGATTACCCCCTACAACGTCACAATTCAGAAAATCACAAACTTTACCTCTTTATAATATTAGTATACATTATTTATAAAATATCTTCACTAAAGACCTATCACCTAATTCAGAACATAATATTTATACTTTACTAGAAACCACTCCGCCCTTGTATATTTTATAAATATGTAGATGCAAAAAAATGTCAAATTATATGCACTATGATGGACTCCGATTTCCCTCCAAACTGAACCTAATAATAATCTACCAAAATATTATTACAAGTACCCAAAGGACATTATTTTTATATTTCATACGTAGATTATTCAAACATTACAGGTTTCAGAAATACAAACTCAATGCAGCTCTCATTAAAACCCAATGAACGCAAGTCACTCGATCAAGTACATACCAAATACCAATAGTATTTTAAATTATTCTTCGCACCTATAGAGTGGCCATTAAGATGTCAATTTGACAAATGTGCCAACGCTAAGCAAAGCGCCGCACTGACATCATCTGAATCAAAGATACGATTGCAAAGTTCAAGACTCCAAATTACTGAAGAAAATATTAAGTATCTCACATAAATTACGTATTGTATGTATGGTAATTAGTTGACTTAAAGAAATCATATGTTAAACTAGCATTGCCCGCGGCTCCGACTGCTTTCAGATGACCAAAAACCAACTTCTTAGGTTTTAAATATTAGTATACTCTTACATTGCAGTTTTTGTATTTTTTCTCAGAAATGAGACATTTTCCCGAGGTAAAAAGTATCCTATATGTTGACCCGGATAACCAGCTTTCACCATACCAAATTTCATCAAAATTCCTCCAGTGGTTATTCTGTGATGCGGTAACAGACAGACAGACAGACAAAAATTCTAAAAACTATAGATTCGGCCTCTGTATCGATAATAATGTTTATTTCAATAAGATTTTCCAAAAATTATTTAATGTACAGATTCAGCTTAGTTACAATTTTATTATATGTATAGATAAAGAAACTCTACATTTAAATTGGCTCATGGAGGATGCACTTGAAATTAAAAACATGCGGTTTAAGTTTTGATCAAAAACTACAATAAGTAGAATAGACTCTTTTCAATTATGTATTTTTATCATGTACTTCTATAGTTTAATAAGTTAAACTAAATATAAATTATAATAGCAATGACAAAGTTTGATTAACATTAAAAGGTCGCTGCGTCCGACGACAACTCCATTTAAAAATGTATTTCCCAAAAATTCTGAAAGCCTGAATATTTCTATTATTTAAAATTAACACAAATATAACAATTCAGTAATATCCATCTCAACATAATGTACCCCAAATATATCATGAATTACAAAGTTCAACTGCCAAATACTTATTTCTAAAACATTAAGGTTGATTTTAAAGCATCTATAAACATTTAAAAAGAAATGCTTTATGGTATCTTCGGGGTGGTTTACTTTAGACATTTTGACACTTTAGGTGAAAACGCAGCGGGATGTCGTTCTATACTTCTTCTAGGAACCGCGTGTGAATTGAGAACTCAATAGTGAACAATTCAATTAAAAATACTAGACATGCGATTCGGTGATGATGAACATAATAAATATTGAAGCCAAATTTATTAACTTTCAACTTGATAATTTTTAGTAGTATTGACTACTAGATTCAGTGAGTTCATTAAGATGTCTTAACTTATTATTATTCTATTAAGTGCCTAGGCTAAGCGTGCCTTTCCCCAATAATTGTTTTCGGATGTTGTAGGCATTTTAAGTAACGCTTGTTAATTCCGATCAGTAACCAGTATCTATTTAGTAAATTGGGGAGGTCTGTCTAGACAGACAAGACTTTGACAAATTTATAGGCGTATTGCAATTAGCTAACTAGAATTTTAGTTTATAAGATGTGTTCAGATGTAGGTTTACCATACTATATCTGACTTAAGGATGTTTAAAATTTAATTAATTTGTATAGAGCAACAAAATTAAATTTTTAACATCCTGAATTCTCCAAACTACGTTTGACATTTTTTTCTTAGAACATGTACAAAAATGGTAAATATTTATTAAATAAAAACTTAAAAAAACCGACTTCCAGGCACTAAAATGTAAAAAATGACTAAACGGGTTTTTCATTTAGAATAGATACCTGATATTTTCGAAGTCGCAAATATCGTCGTAAAATAATTTTGATACAAAGCAAATCTAATATATTTCGATACGTAAAATCCATCACAAATTGATGTATAATATTTTAACTATAATTAGAGTTCATACCTAATCATACCTAATCATATTTACCTATTAGATATTCATATCTTAAAATATTGTTGGTTGGCACTGACTTCGTAAATATGTGATTAAGTATCTATTCTAAATGAAAACCCGCGTTTAGTTATTTTTTAAATTTTAGTGCCTGGAACTCGGTTTTTTTTAGTTTTTATTTTAATAATAAAGTAGTATCACGACAAGAGCGACAAATCACCAAGTGATCAGCACGAATTCAAAATCAAGTGAAGATTGTGAAGAGATAATTATATTAAGTGAAAATTGACTGAAAGAAGTTATTACTGTGCGTGCACCAAGATTGTACATAAGCTTTTTATTTGACTCTCATGCATGATCTCAGAGGTTCTCAGGCTAACTTTTATTTACGATAACAGAACGTATGTTTATATTATAATAATAGACAGTAGAGTTAGTAAAAAAATATCAGGCCCAGTAAACGTTCACTTAAAGTCTATTGCTTCATATAAAAATGAAACAATTTAAAGTGGGAACAAAAAAATATTTGTTACTTAACAACGGATCATAACAAATAGCAAACATACTTTTATATTCCTTAAATAGTCCTTAAGGTATATATTTTATAGTTATGAAATATCTTCTCAGGACTCTGAACTGGACCAAACGTTTTCTGACTTATAGTAGAGCTATGGTACTCGTACACTACTAGTAGGTAAATGTATTGTTATTCAGATTAACATGTTTAGACTTTGACTTGACATGACAACAT